GTACGAAGTGTACACTGGTCCTTGAATCCGAGCGTTAAGCTAAACGGTTGCAGTTTCGCTGCATGAACTCATCAAACGCGGTCCCATGCAAATATGAACATAGCAGCAGAATAGGAAGAAGCGGTAATCTCTCTATCGCACAGAATCATCTTTATTCCGCGATGAATTAGTCATGCAAATGAGGCGTGAACTGAAGAGCTAAAAAGTACTGGACAGCTGTTGCGATCTGATTAGGTCTCGTCAACAGTACGTATATAAATATATATATATATATAAATATAAATATATATATATGTAGCACACGTATTTTACTACATTACACTTTTCCACACGTCGGACGCCAGACTGTGTTCCAACCAAATCATGAAACAATAATCTTTATGAAAAAGAAAAACGTTCCATGATTTGCATGTGGGTTGCATCAGGTTACCCAGACTAAGGCAGGTGAATTTTCTTAAGGAATCCACAACCGGAGGCTTCGGCTAGCCAAAGCTTGATCCGCAAAGCAGCGGGGCGGTGTGTGAAAACCGCAATCCACTTGGGACCGGTGTCCGGTTCATCGAATCATACGTCCTTTGGACGCAGTCGAACGCCCGAGGTGTGCAATACTCCTTGGTGCCCAATCGAGCCGGTGGCCACTGCCACAACCGGAAAGATGTGGATGTGATTCGTGTGGCTATTTGAGACGCTTGGTCGAGGTCCAGTGGAAGGGTAACCTACAGCAACCATAGACTCCTACCCCGGACCATACTGAGGCTTCCAGTGGGAGTACGAATCCGCCTTAACTCATTCATACCGAACATTAGTATCCAGATAGCATTTGTGAACCCTAAAATTCGTTTACCTAATTGTCTATATCAGCAATGAAAAATTCCGGGGGCAGTGCCCTGTATCAGAGGATCTATGAGTAGTTCAACAATTAGGCGTTGTTTTGCTCCGTGGGGTGAATACCGCTGAGATCCAGCATTCTGAAGATGAGACAAGTTACCGTTAAAACACACTGGCCAATTGTTAACAATCATCCGAATTCCGAGTAATTGTTTAGGGAATGCTGATAAATGTCACGTTCCGGATACAATGCAAGACAAAACCGTCAGTAGCAATCTCTCTTACTGTATTCTTCGGTACCAAACAAGCCTCTTTTTCTTGTTGTCTATTTTGGGCTTAAATTCCATACACGATTTTAGGAGCAAATTTTCACCGGTCATCTGTTCCCAAGCAACCATCTGTTCTTCCTCCTTCTCGTCTTCATTTTCTGAGACCATTGTATTTAGAACAACAATGTGCCGAACAAGCTCGTTTCAATTATTCGTAATCATGCCATTACATAACCTTAAATATGACTAACAATAAGAACAAACAGGGAGTGAGAGATTCGAGTCCTAATGCTTCAGCTCCGGCTCCAATCATGCGTGCATATGTGCTCGTGTGAAATTCATCACAGCGTCAAAAGTTCAAAAATCCAACAGTTTTCCAGTATATCTGGTCTTAGTCTTCACACATCTAAGTACCTAGATTGCATATTCAGTCTTTCTTGCTCAATAGTTTCAATGGAATCCCCTACCCATAACCGTAACCCTGTGTCTATAGTGACCTGTTTCAAATACCTGGTTGTCACCATCGACAGTACTCTCCAGTGTTCTACACATANATTCGTAATAGTATGGGGAAAATGAGACGCATTTTTTTCGACTACATGAACTCAGGTAGTTCTGAATCCTACAGTCAGTTTGTCTTCTTTCTTCCACCAATGCGTTTTCAAAATTCTACTCTATTGCTCCTCTACAGCGTTTCTGGGCCTCCTAAAACAGGACTTTAAAAATATTCATCCTAATTTGATGATAACCAGTGGTGGATCATCCATTTCAGTTGATCCGTTAATGACAGAACTTGTTTATGATGACATCAACTCTTGGATTAAATTTGCCAATAAGATACTAGGCAGCCTACTTCAACCAGTACATCCCGATGTATACATATATCGTTACCATCCGTCCAAACGCTCCTCCGTTCGACATCTACGCTCCCATATGAACAGTTGAAAGATTCCCCTTTACCCTACCGGGTTCAACTCCTAACCAGAAAGGAACAGCGAGTCATTAGATTGCATCATTATTTGTGTTCGTAAATCAATCTTTAGTATATACGAGAGTAGTGGAGGATTGGCTTGGATTATTTGTGATAAATTCACACTTCTGATGAGATCCCCATAAGGTAGAGTTAGCTGCCCGTGCTTCCCAGCTTTACAGTTCACACTTCGCTTTCACGACGAATTTATTACATGTAAGCAAATTGGATGCACCATTGTTCTCACGCAACGTGTAATCATGCTATGAAGGTTTCCAATGGAGCCTGGAGGCTGGTGCTGAAATGCGTGAGGTCCGATGCCCGAAACAAGCTCGCGAATATGATTTGTACTACATCACGCATAAGAAAGATGAACCACGGTCTGATCAGCTGCCCGGTGACCGTGTGGATAGTAAGCTTGCGTGCGACTTGTGAGGTCCCGGGTCGGGTCCCCAGTTGGGTCGATGGATTAGTGCACTGCACTGATGAGACCTAACCAGGTCGAAACAGCTGTCCAGTGCTTCGTAGGTTTTTAACTGAAATGTTAGCATATAGGCATGCCTACGTGATCCAAATACGATGAGAGTAGCGAAATAATAATCTTGATTGTACATTTGAATCTGTACAAAAAAAACAAGTTCTTGCGCAAAAAATACTATTTTTACCCATTAAAGGAGCTTTTTGGTTTCAACCGATTCCTTATCCATACTCCACCATTACAAATCGACTGACGGCATTTTACGTTCTTTTATTATCCAAAACTAGAAATTCGACAGGCTGTTTAAAGTGCTTTATTTTTGTATCACACATTACCCCCGTTGAGGAATAGCAGAATCAATCAACCAAGTCATCACAACAACCAATTGTTAATTCATGATAATCGACAAACTAAGTTCTCAGGCTGAGAAAAGCGAGCCACACAAAGCCTTACTAAGAAGATCGTAGTATTGAGTCAGAGACGAGAAAACGTACCGACCACCAAATTGTTTGTAAAGTTAGCGGGGTTCAATCCTCAGCTCTTATGGCCTGTAGCGTGCCATTGTCTATGAGCTAAACTGCAGGACCCCCTCCTCGGGGTTGATTTTATTTGCCACAGAAGAGTTTGAAAACTTCCATTCATTGTCTGGATGCGAATCCCGAATTTTGTGAATTTTGTATCCACCTGAAAGGAACGGTAGCTGTGGAAGTGAGCACCGGTATTAGCGTTCCAGCAGACATGATAACAAATTAGACTCTGTGTTGGAATAAATAGGGATTAAAGTTCTGTCGTTTTTTTTCATGAACTGCAGATAATGACATTTTTGCAATAGTGTAGGAATCAAATTTCAGTTCAATTTATTTTACCCTTCCCTACCCTTCCTCCTCATTATGTTTTCTGTTATTTCCAAACATTTTTATTCATTCGGGTTGAATTTACGCTATGATGCTTCGGATGCAGTCGAGAAGTGACATATCCCGTTTAACTCAATAACAGTTTCCCCTGAGTTTCCGAAGAACAGACAAATTACGCTTTTTGTTTTAAACAGTTCATGTTTCATTTTCACAGTTTCCAATTCGATTGATTGTTTTGTTTTAATGGCTTGCTTTTCAAGCACGGGCGTACTACTATATTTTCCATAATACAGTTATCTGTGAAGTGATGGACTGTGGGGGGGGGGGGCAAACAGGAATTTGGGTT